GGAGTCGAACTTTAACTTCCTAGCAATAGTCAGGTTCATATCAAGACAAGGAGAGTAACTTAATAAATTCACTTTTAAAAACATACGTTACAATAACTCAACTATTGGTATTAAATATTGTATAATCATCATAGATTTTGGGCATTTTAACATAATGGTGTTCTTCAAAAAGGACAGCTGGACCGGTCTCACATGCGGTGGTATATACAACACTTGAAGTTTCATAAAAAAACCAAATCGAAGTTGATGTATTTTTGTTTTTATTTTAATGATTGCCATATAGAGATATAAGAATATTACATTAAGAGTTCGTTGTTCTGATTTGATACGCTCCAATGAAGTTGTATTACTTTGTTAGCCATTGTATGTAAGTTCGGATGGTGCAAAACTCTGCTTACTACCCATGTTTTGAATTGAAGCTGACGAAATGTATAAAGCATGTGTTCTAACGGCGTGTTTTCATTTGATTCCTACATACAGTAAACGTGCTTTGGTTAGCATAAATTTGGCGGATTGGCCGAGTGGTTAACATTCCGGCCTTCCACGCAGCCGGCCGGGGTTCGATCCCTGTAGTTTTTATAACACGGACTATTTAGAGAAATTATTTGTTTCCCTTCTGCCCATTCAACTCCAGCAACGCAGATGGATAAATGGTTTTGGATGGGTGTTTCAGTGTCTATACTGTGGCATTCAAACAGAACTAAACACGCTTCCAGCATACATACACGAGGAGATGTTACGTAGCCAGGTGGAATAGTGAGCGCCTGATAAGGCAGCTCCTACTAATTTCACGAAAAAAGTATTGATTGATATTGATAAATTATGGACTTTTGTTGAGGTGAAAATGTACCTTCGTCTCGGTCAATATCACTTTTACATATTCATCAAACCACATATTCACCGAAATAAAAGCCGTTTATTGTTACATTAGATGCTGAATGCCTATTAACAGCTAGATCATTTAAGGACGTGTCACCATGTGTGAGTGTATGCGTGCTTGCGTGTGTGTGTGCTGGAGACAGGGTATGTTGGTGTGTTTGCCTCCTTGTGATAGCGCGGATCTAATGCTTAATTTATAGTGCTATCTCACTGAAATACTATGCCGAAGGCACAGCATTCCGCCAGGTCACATTATACTGACAACGGGTGAACCAGTTGTTGCCATTCCACTCAATGCCGAACGTTAAGCAGGGAATAACAACAACCATTTTTAAGGACTTTGGTATAACCCGGCCTGGAGACAGAACCCGTTGCCTTCCTCACCTGGGCGAACGCTCAACATTAAAGCCAAAAGTGAGGTGTGGCCAGGCAAGGTGCTAGGAAATAATAGGTAGTTAGACGTAGAAAGAAAGATAAAGATCACAAATATTGCAATGGGTGCAGCAGATTTATTGTGGTCACTTTTGAGTCCCCAAATAGAGGACACCAGAGAAAATCTCCAATTCTGCAAGTGGTTTGAAAACATAGACACACCGGATTAATATTACAATTATTTGATCTCCAGGTATATATGATCCAACCATGCACCAGTGATCATGTAGGAATAAGTTGTGTCATCTAATATAAAATATGCCCGCCATGAAAATTAGTGAGCCTATAAGAGAAATCTTACAATATAGAGTTTCCCACCTATACCGAACTCTTCAACTTTACAATCTCTATGTGCAAATGGCCATTGAACGTTGTTAAAGTATATGTATTATTTAGCTAACATGCAGTATTCAAGTGGTTATGATAGAATCGATGAGGATTTTAACAACATTTTCCTTTCATAAGGTCGTGATATGTAGAGTATATATACTGTGTACACATACTGATCAATATATTTGCGATCCATGCGTTGTTTATTTAAAAATGAATTTCCGCTGTTTTTGGCAATATCCCACTATTTAAAATGCATAAAGCCTTGAGGTTATATTTCAAGTGTCAACGAACCTCTGCGCTTTCCATAAATATATCAAGTCAAAGAAATTTCGAAAGACAAGAACCAGAACCGAAAAATAAAACTAAGTGTTTGGCCTATAATATGCTCTGTATTTAGTAAAAGAACTACGTATATACCATGCATTCGATAAACAGGAAAAGTTTGGTCGTTTTATCAGAGGCGAAGCTAGCCCTTGTCCGGAGTAGATTTATTTAGGAGCGGGTCCAGAGCAGGGCTTTGGTAGGGGGATAAACAGTGTTTTCATTTTGTTTTGTTTTTCTGTTTGAAAATTTAGTCGAATCACCTGCGCACTAGCGTATACAGGCAGCTACGCGTCTTATTGTGGATTGCATACGTCGAGGTAAGGTATAATTTGTGAACCTTCGTATTTGAAAGTGATCCTTCCCATAAATATATCACACAAAGAAATCATGTGCCGGTGATGATAAGCTGCCTTGTAAGCCCTTCTGGATGGAATTGTGAAGCATCCTAAAACGAAATAGGATATCTTCTTAAAAGCATGTTGTTTGTACAGTATGCGTGTGGTAATATTTGTTTATTTGTTTCAATGTATTACAAAAAATCCTTTCAAAAATTTGCTTTTAGTTTGGTTTGGTTTGGTTTAGCACCATCAACAGCTATGGTCATTTAAGGACGGCCTCCCTGTGTGCAAGATGCATGCGTGTAGTGTATACGTATGCGTGTGTGTTTTGGGAGGCTGCGATATGTTCCTGTCTGTCTCCTTGTGATAGCGCGGAACTGATGCCGACTTTATAGTGCTACCTCACTGAAACATACTGCCGAAGACACCCAGCAGGATACCCCACCCGGTCACATTATACTGACAACTGGCGAACAAGTCGTCCCACTACTAAATTGCTGAAACTACCATTTTTACAGACTCTGGTATGTCTCGGCCAGGGGACAGAACCCAAAGCATTCCTCACGGGGGCGAACGCTCAACTAAAGGCCAAACGTGAGGCATTGTCAAGGGAGACATTAGGAAAAAGAAAGTTGTTTAGAAAGAACAGAAAAGATAAGATCCCAGATTTAATCGCCTCTTACGATCATGCAATGGGGCCAGCAGGTACAATTCTTCGTCCTACCTGCAGTGACTGCTATTGGATAAAAAATGTGATACAATAAGGACAAGAGATATCTTCTTCTTCTTCTTCTTCTTTTTCTTCTACTTCTTCATCTACTTTTTCTCCTCGATCATGACAAGTCTTCAATGTACGAGTTTTAATGTCATACGCTGGTAAAAAAATGGCGATTACAGAGTTTACAGCAATGTTTGGAGAGTGCTTACTGGGATGGCTGATCAAAATGCATCCACAGTATAGGCCAAGATAATAAAGGTAGGCAGATAATTCCATTCGATAACTGTATATAACGAATATTTACAAGAGTCTTTAGATGTCTGTAACTGTCTGTAAGAGAACGGCCTTTGGCTTGAGCGTGTGACAATGGAGGAGTGAACCGGGATATCAGATGGGACAGAAATTAGTTGACGAGAAATATTGTAGAAGAGAACTACTCTGAAATATGTCCTACGATTCTGAATAGTCTGACAGTATAGGGATTCCATCATGTCTGACGGAGTCCCGTATTTCCTCGTGTCTTTCATCGTACGAACGGAGCGCTATATACAACTATATGTCCCTGGCTTTCGCGGCCTCGTCACAAGGGGATAAGGAAACGACCTTGCCTGAAATGTGTATTTAAGGTTCAACAAGCCCCCTAATAGATGCTGTAGTCACCTAAAATTTCAACCCCCTGAGAAGTCATATTCAAATACCTCAATTAAAATCGGAACTTATATTTGTATATATATTGAACTTGTACATTGGCTATACAAAAAATACATAGGCAGGTTAACGTAGTCAAAAATAAGGCATTAAGGCTGATGTCTTCATAAAAATAGCTAACTAGACTTGGAAAAAATCAATCTCTTTTGCGATCCAACCGAGTGCTGAAAAATGACCCATAATCTAAAGTTTATTTATATACCTAGGCCATGCGGAGCTTTATTTCTCTTCTACTAGCGGTTTAGAGGAGTTCCGACCTCAAATAAAGATAGATGTTGCCATGCGATACCACTAAAATCATAGTAAAATCCCCTGGTAGTACATTTTAGCAATTTATAAATAGGAAAACAGAGGCTAAGTAACGTTGATCGATAAATGAACTTTAGAGGATGTGCCATTTGATAACATTCGGTGATTATATGAATGTGCTAGACAGTACAATAATGTGTGAAAACATTGAATGTTAAGAAATGACATTTTATATGAACTTTAAGTGTTTATGGTCAAAGGTCTATGGTTTTACACATGTATACCGGTAAAATATGTTACGCGATCGTTTTTCTATGATTTTTTTACTTTCCCATAGCAACAGTCATCTTCTTATGAGGCCGGTATACCTTTCCACACATAGTTAAAGAGAAATAAAGCCCCGCATGACCTACATTGTAGGTATATCAATGATACATTCAGTTGGGTCGCTTAAGAGATTGACATGTTATAACATCAGCCTTAATGCCGTATTTTGACTTCGTTAACCTGATTGTGTACTTTTTAATAGCTCATGTACAAGTTCAATATATTTAAATTACAAATATTTTGTTAAGGTTATTAGAATATGACTTGCCAGGGGGTCAAAATTTAGGGTGACTATTACATCTTTTAGGGGGCTTATTGAACCTTAACCAAAACCCGAGGAACAGCTCCATTTTTATCAATATGTAATCAGGTGAAATAGCATAACTATAGCATCATAATTGTAATTACATGATCGTAATTGGACTTTGCTGTTTTAAGCTAAAGAGAACGTATACATTGGTCTGCCGATTATATATAGTGTGTAACTGCACAAATACCAATCAAGCGTCTTTCCTGGAGCCAACCTGTGCTTGCATGGTGTGTCGACTTTGCAAGTTCTGTTTCCTTTAATTCAACGCCAGTTTCACCTTATTTAAATCCTTATATGAGCACTTAAGGCTAAGCCTTCTCTCAGAGTCGATAATGAAAACAGATTTTCACTGTGCAGCACTTGTGTGTGGATCCCCGTTCTATATTTGGCGCACTGGAGACTTTCGTGAGCCGTAATCTGGTTTATATCGACCAATGAAATGCGTGCGGTGTCCTCCGCTGTACCTGTATCATCAGTGTTTATGGCGGCGATGGTGGAGCAAGGAACGGACAGAGGCAGATCGGCCCTGTAGCATGACGACAAAGCTAGGTAGTTATGTTCAATATGTTACGATCGAGTTTGTCTGTCAGACCAAGCTTCACTTCGATCGGTCGATAAGCGACAGCGGTCACTCGCTACGAAAGGACACCTGGTCTGTTTTATCGCCTTGTGGTATTGAATAGTCCATGGCGACGTACAAGTGCCTCTTCTGTTTCTTTGTGTGTACTTCCTCAGACACTACATACCAGCTTATTTATAAGTGACGCAAAATTTCACTAAGCGTAATTATTGATCTTTTTGTATCTTCACACGTCTCTCTTGACAGACGACATTTATTAGAGGCGCGTTATATAGAACACCACGACACACGCCGTATGGTCAGATTGTCGCGTGACGTCACGAGCCGGTGCACAACAAGTGTGATATTAATAGATTTTCACGTGTCATGGATTTTTATACGTAAATCTTGAGGGAATCCCGGTGAGGCGTTATAAACATTACATTTGGAGACCTTTATATTACCACATAGTCAGGATCAGCTGGCAGGTGACGACAACCCGTTCAGAATGTAAGCGACTAGTGAAGTCAGTATCTCAGTTTCTCCTCAGAAATTATGGTTACAGGCAAGGGCCACCATCAAGCAGTACTAGGCGTGGAGGAGTGTGTTGTCAAACGTCCCTGTACACGTGTTATCATCAGTGTATTTCTGGACTGTCATTCTGTATCTACAGAAGGAAAAGTCGATGCGACGAATCTCTGGGGTAAGTCAGAGACATATTTAATCCCCTCCGCATCAAAGCCATTTTGGTCTCTGCATGTGGAGTATAACATATACATGTAGATAGATATATATATAAAGTAGTATATACGTCTCTGGGTAATCCTTGCTGTGGTTGATCTAGAGGGGTATAGACCCCCAGTCTGGGAATTTTATTTAAAACCGGTATATTTTCCCCATCAAAATTTGCCACTAAACCCCATACTTGTCATTTTTTTTAAAAATTTCAATAGGGTAGATTGACTTGCTCACAATTTAAGTAAATCAATGTTTGTTGGTTTGGTTTGACATGTGTTCCTGGTGTGTAATTATCCTGTCCCTGATATATGGGAACGTTTACCATATATCGAACCAGGTTGCTTAATTATTACACTGTAGGTCTGTAAAACAGACCCATTCCTAATTGGGCACAATAGCCCCACTTTCCTCAGTTAGTAGAGTTAAATGCACAATATTTTAGAAGAAAAAGAAAGCGAAAAATTTGTTTCTTTTCAATTTTTGTTTGTTCTTTTATGATTTTATAAACTATAATACTATTTCACATGTAGGCACCACGCTTGGTTTATTGTCTAATGATACAAATTTATTAACTTATTAACCAATGTTGTAATGTTACATCAGCAACATGGTATTATCAGTACCTTAGGCTAGGTACCATTACTCTATAGCCAATCACATAAAATGTCAAAAATATAAATGTCAAAGAAATAGATTTGATTGTAACATTACAGTGTACCCTATGCGGCACACTCTCCGATGGGCCACTGGCAACCCCAGGGCTACATTTCTTTTAGAAATGTAATAAACAGCAAATCCAAAAGTTTTCCATGTAATTTCATTACGGTAGTTTTTTTCCACACCTACATGTACGCCAGTTTTCTCACTTTTCATTCGTGATTCACAACTCTTGAAAATATCACAAAACTTTTATTATCATAATTAACATTTAAAATTTGAGGTGAGTTCAAAACAATTAAGTTTTAAATTTTCAAAATATCTACATGTATTAGAAAACTATCCACATTTATACATGTTCTCTGGAAACAGGTTTTAGTTTTACGAGATTTGGTTTAAGATGTAAGTTTTATTTTTTTATTCTTAAAAGAGAGCTTCAGGAAAATTATGGATTATTTCTTCCGTCTTTTTTTACAGTATTGGTATATACACTATATACTCAGTGTATTGCCTATTGCATATGCAAACATTGCATGTAAATTGTAATCCTTTGTTGGCAAAAATGCCACATATATACCAATAGGGCCTTAAGCTGCGACTATATGGATTTTTGAAATTATTGTAAATTATTGAACTTAGTTTTTGTGTTTTTGTTTGGGGTATATTGGAAACTGCAACTTTGGGAATTGAATTGAATGCGATGCCTGGCTTAATCAATATATTCATATATATATATATAGAATTCATATTTACATAAATTTGCACTTTAAACAGTTTTAATGAATACATATAGAGTTAATGTTAAAATATATATTTACACAAGTTTTAATAAGTTCATTTGTATTTATAGAAAAGTTAAGATATAACGACCGACTACAGAACTACATGTAGCAGCTTTCACCCTACACAGGGCTCTTCAGCTTTTATATTTATACACATTTGCTTTAGTGTTATTATATAACCAGTAAACCTGTTGATTGGAGTAGTAAAAGCAAGAATTTATTGAAGGATTTCTGTAGCACTGCCAAAAACTGTAACTATACATTAGAAATATCCAATAATTCTTACATTGCATTTGAATCTTTTTGCCGGCATGATTATAACTTTGATAAATGTTTTTCGAAACCATACCAAATGGAACTTTTTTGAAAAGATAATCAAGATGAAATAAACAGAAAATATCAATAACAGAATTTGGAGTCCAATTAAATGCAACGTTTACAGGACCAGACCAGGATTAGAACCTTAGATCATAGGGTCAACGGGTACAGTTGTTATCTGCCCTAGTTGCACTATAGTTACCTACTGGTATATATTGAAAACAGAATTAAGGGGAGATAGCTGTACATACAAAATTGGAAATCTCTGGTATTTTACATGCAGTGGTACAGGGATCCTTAATGGATAATATGATATTTTAGATGATTGATCCAGAATATTAGACCCAAGCAGCTGTGAGTTGGTTTATAAAATCATGTTTTAACAGCAGTATTGGGTGTGTTTCAGGGTGGATGCAGAATCAGGAATATGGCATCCGAGTGGATCTTCTGCCTGGACAAAAGGTAAGCATAACATTAGTGTTAAATGTATATTAAGAGTAAAGTTGGTGTAAAGGAATGATGCCAGTCTTTTGCAGAATTGCTTCCTATGATGCTCAGGGCTCAACTGTAACATTTGAAAGGAGTACCTTGTTGGGCAAGTTGAAACTAAATCTCAACTCTTGACTTGTCCAGAAAAATTGAAGAAACTAAATAAGAACTTACAAGAGTCAAGAAACTGATTACACTGATATTCCTAGGAAGAAATGACCATCAACTGATTTATTAGCATCTCAATTGAAAGGGTTTTACAGAACTTTTGTGAAATTGAACTTGATATGCATACCGATGCAGCCTAAAAACAATTCAAATTGTCAATTGGCTATAAAACAACCAGACAAATTCTATCTTAAATTATCAATCTTGACTGATGATATTGAACAATAGAAAGGTGTTTTTGCAATCAATGAAAGGTTTGCAGATTTCTTAGAGACTCTTTGCTCTGGAAATAATTATCATTCACTAAGCATGGTCATCAAAACCTGAGGTCTGAATTTCAATGAAGAATTTTCTTTATTGATTACACAATTATTTATATTATTTCCATTGCTCTGACTTAAAGTTTTTGTACATATGCTATTTTGTGGTTTGCTCAAATCAGTAGATTTAGTTAACCAGAACGATGGCAAACTTTCGTACGGTGTTCACAAGCTTTTGTCACAATTTGTAATGAAGCCATATGGCTTAAGAACTCTAATTAGTCTCTATCTATAGCTACCTGCAGATCAAATGGAGTAAAAGTTATTGTTCAAAACAAAGGAAACAGCTGTTCTAAGACATTTTAAGTGTAACTGCTTCTATTTGGTTCAGAGTTTTCAGTAACAAGGATCAATGCTACACTACCAACTGCTATTGGTTGTATTGTATGTTTCAATAGACCAAACGTCTGTGGTAAGCGAGAAGGCAAATGAAAAACAGGAGGTCTTATATAGAGAAAACGTTAGCGGTGAAAGAAATAGGCAAATGTAACGATGGGCATGGCATTAAGGAAATGTTAACTGTAGGCAAAAAGGCAAATGAAATGACGGGCATGACATTAAGGAAAACCAGAATATCTTTGGTTATAGCAATAGATGCTAGGTCACACTTGTCTTTGGTTATAGCTATAGCCAAAGGACAAGTCTGACCTAGCATCTATAGCTATAACCAAAGGACAAGTCGGACCTAGCATCTATTGCTATAACCAAAGGACAAATCTGACCTAGCATCTATAGCTATATCCAAAGGCCAAGTCTAACCTAGCATCTATAGCTATAACCAAAGGACAAGTCTGACCTAGCATCTATTGCTTTAACAAAAGACAAGTATGACCTAGCATCTATTGCAACCAAAGACAAGTCTGACCTAGCATCTATAGCTATAACCAAAGACATGTCTGACCTATCATCTATAGCTATAACCAAAGGACAAGTCTGACCTAGCATCTATTGCTATAACCAAACGACAAATCTGACCTAGCATCTATAGCTATAACCAAAGACAAGTCTGACCTAGCATCTATAGCTATATCCAAAGACAAGTCTGACCTAGAATCTATAGCTATATCCAAAGGACAAGTCTGACCTAGGATCTATTGCTATAACCAAACGACAAATCTGACCTGCATCTATAGCTATAACCAAAGGCCAAGTCTGACCTAGCATCTCTTGCTATAACCAAAGGACAATTCGGACCTAGCATCTATAGCTATATCCCAAGGACAAGTCTGACCTAGAATCTATAGCTATAACCAAAGACATGTCTGACCTATCATCTATAGCTATAGCCAAAGACAAGTCTGACCTAGCATCTATAGCTATAACCAAAGGACAAGTCTGACCTAGCATTTATTGCTATAACCAAAGACAAGTCTGACCTAGCATCTATTGCTATAACCAAAGACATGTCTGAGGCATTTATTGCCATAACCAAAGGACAAGTCTGACCTAGCCTCTATTGCTATAACCAAAGACAAGTCTGACCTAGTATCTATAGCTATAAGCAAAGGACAAGTCTGACCTAGCATCTATAGCTATAACCAAAGACATGTCTGACCTAGCATCTATAGCTTTAACCAAAGACATGCCTGACCTAGCATCTAAAGCTATATCCAAAGGACAAGTCTGACCTAGCATCTATAGCTATAACCAAAGACATGTCTGACCTAGCATCTATAGCTATAACCAAAGGACAAGTCTGACCTAGCATCTATAGCTATAGCCAAAGACAAGGCTGACCTAGCATCTATAGCTATAACCAAAGACATGTCTGACCTAGCATCTATAGCTATAACCAAAGGACAAGTCTGACGTAGCATCTATTGCTTAAACCAAAGGACAAGTCTGACCTAGCATCTATAGCTATACCCAAAGACATGTCTGACCTATCATCTATAGCTATAACCAAAGGACAAGTCTGACCTAGCATCTATAGCTATAACCAAAGGACAAGTCTGACCTAGCATCTATAGCTATATCCAAAGGACAAGTCTGACCTAGCATCAATAGCTATATCCAAAGGACAATTCTGACCTAGCATCTATAGCTATAGCCAAAGACAAGGCTGACCTAGCATCTATTGCTTAAACCAAAGGACAAGTCTGACCTAGCATCTATTGCTATAACCAAAGGACAAGTCTGACCTAGCATCTATAGCTATAACCAAAGACAAGTCTGACCTAGCATCTATAGCTATAACCAAAGACATGTCTGAGGGACTTATACACATGTAGCTATAACCAAAGACATGTCTGAAAGAGCAGAACTTATCTGACCTTGTGTTACACAAACTGACCTTTGAGTGGCACACAAACCACACCCCATAGCTTACTTAAAGGAATTTAATTGCTGCTATAAATCTGTAAGTCTGCTGTCATGATTTATTTACAGATATTGACTAACAGAATGCATGTAAAACATGGCACAGCTGTACAGATCTCCTCACAGCTCCTACAGGGAGATGTGGAGAAGTTGTTCAGCAATAGTGTCATACAAACCTCAGACTTATTCAAACTTCCTGTACAAGTTGACATGCACATGTACATCTATGTAGTCAATTGACAAAGAGCTATATATAGGAAATTTGTTTTGGGATAAATATATATATATAATTCAGTTCAAAATGGGACAAAAATTAATGTAAGAATAGAACAACTTTATAACGGAAAAGAAAAACAATAAAGCATAACGCACAACACCTACCGGTAAATTATTTTGTGGTTTTACCATTTCAAACTATTTCATATGTACAAATTACTGAAATTACAAAAAGTTTTTAGTGTAATACAATAGACAATGGAATGCACTTGTATTTCTCTGTTTCAAAAAAACATCCATGTTCCTTTCATGTGATAAAGTAGTGAAATACAGCACCATGCTAAGGAACCAAACCCCACCCATAAACATTACAGGAGTATGTGTCCAATACGTGGTGAAATTGAAGTATGAAACAAGAAACGTCCATTACTGTACATGTATTATCGTTAACTTTAAGCAGACGAAAATATCAGCGTGTAGTATATAGGACATTTCCTTTCATTTCATTCCTGGTCAAAATCGTGATTGTTTGGTCGGATCAATGACATACATTGTCCTGTTGAGCTGGATGTGTGAAGTATTATACTACCCCAGGGAGAGTCTAATGCAAGTTGACATCTCCAATCTTCCGTCTTGGTGGCTGCTACAATTGGGTTTCAAATGTTAAAGCAGTAGTCAATTAGTTGGGCCGGCCACAAAGAGGCTATACATTTATTCATGATGGACAGATCTATAACTTAACAGACAGTTCATGGAGTGAAACCTAATTGCTGAGTAATGGCCATTTGGCCAGACCTAAGTGTGATGACTGTGATGGTAATACATACCAATTTAGACTTAACAATACTGTATGGCATTGTATGATACTGTAAGACCTAAGTGTAATGTATTGCATGGACATTGTATCACATTGTATCATATTGTATCACATTGTATCACATTGAAATATACTGTATTACATTTTATTGTACTGTATCACATTGTATGATACTGTATTATATTGCACTGTACTATATTATATTGTATGATACTGTATTACATTATATGATACTGTATAACATTATATAATACTGTACCATTATATTGTACTGTATCATTTTATGATACTGTATTACATTGTATGATACTGTATTACATTGTATGATCCTGTATACATTATATGATACTGTATCACATTGTATGATACTGTATTATATTTTATGATACTGTATTATATTGTATGATACTGTTTTACATTATATGATACTGTATCACATTATATAATACTGTACCATTGTATGACACTGTATTACATTGTTTGATACCGTATTACATTGTATGATACTGTATTACATTGTATGATCCTGTATACATTATATGATACTGTATCACATTGTATGATACTGTATTATATTGTATGATACTGTTTTACATTATATGATACTGTATCACATTATATAATACTGTACCATTGTATGATACTGTATTACATTGTTTGATACTGTATTACATTGCATGATACTGTATTACATTGTATGATACTGTATTACATTATATGATACTGTATCACATTGTTTGACACTGTATTACATTGTATGATACTGTATTACATTGTTTGATACTGTATTACATTGTATGATACTGTATTACATTGTTTGACACTGTATTACATTGTATGATACTGTATTACATTTTATGATACTGTTTTACATTATATTATACTGTATCACATTATATAATACTGTACCATTGTATGACACTGTATTACATTGTTTGATACTGTATTACATTGTATGATACTGTATTACATTGTATGATACTGTATTACATTATATGATACTGTATCACATTGTATGATACTGTATTATATTGTATGATACTGTATTATATTGTATGATACTGTTTTACATTATATGATACTGTATCACATTATATAATACTGTACCATTGTATGACACTGTATTACATTGT